CACCAGATCCGCCATAATTTATTTGTGACATTGCGACAGTCACAGCAGGAGTAACAGCTGCCTGGAACATAACGGGATCGAACTGAGGGGGCCGGTGGTGGTGGTGGTGGAGTGTCGTCGTTTCTTCTGATAGGTCTTTTTTGCGGGAGACATCTTGTTCTAGAAACAATCAGGAAGAAGAGGATGGTAAGTCCTCCAGACATATGAAACAAAATATATCCCATCCTGATAATAAAGTGTTCTACCAAGCGATAAGCAAGGAAAGGTTACTAATACAAGTAAGTTATCGCTAAGAAATGAATAGGTAGCAACACTAGAAATGAATATATTCGGCTCTGGCTAAAATACTCCTACAGTATTTTAAGTTGCATGTTTTGTTCTTTTGATACCTTGTTGCATGGATACTGGGTAAGTTTTAGGCCTGTTGCAACACCAAAGTCACTCCCAAGCACATGTTGGTCATGTCTCGAATGAATATAGTTGATCAGGCTATATTGACCCTAGACATGATTACATACTGCTCAGGTTTAACCGCAGTGTCCAACATCCAAAATACTTTTGCTTTGTTCTACTCATGATATTGTTTCTGGTACGTAGGTATACTTGTATACTTTTTGTAAAAATACTTATATTTTTAAAAGTATACTTTTAGTTCAGAGCACTTTGGCCCCTTAGTGTTTATAGTTGTATACCATGTAAGGTTCGGTATACTTAGTTCACTATAAACAATAGCTCTGATACCAATCTGTCACACCCCAAAACCGATGGCGGAAACGTTCCGGGGCGGAGGACGTCATGCGTAGTATCACAACAGTTGTATCATAGTAAGCGAAGTAAACACAACCATTACATTATAATAAGAATGTTTACATTGTTTGAAAACATGGTTTATACATAACAGTATATAACAAAAGTAAAAGACGTGACTCCAAAATGCTCCGTCTTCTCCAAAAGTTGGCAAGAGTACCTGTCTATTGTTGCCCTGAGAATACTAGCAGTTTTGAAAATATCAGCATAAAGCTGGTGAGTTCATAAGCGTTTAGTTCTAGTAAAAGAAATGTTTCTTTGATCATTTAAAAAGTGTTTCCCAAGAAAATCCTATATTTTCTTATCAAAGATGTTTGATTATCCAATCGTTATTTGTTTAACAAACCTGTTTATGTAAGGTTGAGTTATCCCAGGAAAATCCTACATTTTCCTTAAAAGTTGATAGTTGGTTAACCGTTCTGGAATGAGGTGTACAAGTATCTACCATACTTGTATCGTTAGATGTAGTTTCATTGAAAAACCCTGTTTGCTCTCTGTGAGGTGTATTAGTCTTATTACATAAATAAAACTAATAAAATAGGTAGTGAACTAGATCCTAAGGGTATTACTAATGCCCTCTAGTAATCAAATCGGTTATTATTTTAAGGTTAGTTCACTTGTTTCATTATTACAAAAGTAAATTTTCGCTACCTAAGTTGTGAGTGTCATAACCGTACTTAGACTGGATAAGGCACGTATCGGGGCCAATATCTTTTTATGACTTTGTCACCCCTGAAACTAACGGTCCCGCTGTAGCTAGAAGCGAAGGTGCGGGATAGTCAGTCCCATATAGATCTATACACAATAGTCACGCTCTCCCTCCAAGAGATTCTGGTTACAAGGGTTAGTCCTACACTCTCGAATCCGGTGGAGTGTTACCAAGGACGTGTCTCAAAACTTAGCCTAACATACTTGAGCACAAGTTTCCTTGTACTTTTGCTTGTATCCCCCCCCCCTTAAAACATGAAAAACTCGGAAAAAGGCGTAGGGGTATGAACTCACCGTTTGACGTAGGATCTAGGTGTATGATCGGTTACGAATGCTGAGTGTCAACCGATGTTTCGTACGCAAGTGGATCCTATTAACATGTGATAACACATAGGTGTGTTAGAATTAGGGTGTTTCATGACTAAACATGACGGGAAACCACCCTAAAGACTTGGAAATGCTTGTCGGGACCCTATATGATCAAACAAGGGAGGTGTACGGCCAAAAGAGTGTGTGTGCGGCCAGGGTGTGTGGTCAGCATGTGTGTGCGGTTGCACACAGGAGTGTGCGGCCGTACAGGAGGTGTGTGCGGTCGTACATGGGAGTGTGCGGCCGTACATAGGGGTGTGCGGCCGTACACTCTTCATTCATGCTCAAAATGTCGATTTTCGGGTGTTTCAAAGCCAATACCAAGTCCAACTAGCAAATGAAGGCCAAACTCTTCACCTTGGAGAGTCTTTGAGGTGTGTACGACCACCTTATGAAGGTGTGCGGCTGTACACCTTCAAGTGACGAAGAACACGAAGAACATGATGAGTTTTAAGCTTAGATCAAGGTGTCTTACCACTATAACAAGCTGAATGATGGAGTAATTCACGTTCTTGAGGCCTTTACAGTGTTCTTGGATGAAGTTTTTAGAGAGAGAAAGTAAAGTGCAGCCAAATGAAAGGAATGAATGAAGAGGGTCACCTTATATAAATAAGGGTGAGTGTGCGGCTGGAGGGTGGGTGTGCGGCCGCACACCCAGGTGTACGCCCGTACACTCCTCCCGAGAGGGTGTATGGCCCGGTTTTGTCTCTATACGACTTGTTGACTCATTTCTAATTTCATTCCCGGTTGTACTCAAGCTTAGAACACTTAAACTAACACTTAAACGACGTTAAAAGGTAACGAAAATCAAGTTAAATGTTGATAAAGTTGACCAAGTGTACAGAATAAAAGTTTCGGGTTGTCACAGAAGCGAATTTGCTTAATAAGAGGAAATTTAAGTTTCCTCTGTGGTCGTTGGAAAGGCTTCGAAAGGAGGTTATTGAAGCTCCAAGTTCACATTGGCTAGAGCCTGTTCTTTCATTCGATGTCGAGAATTCTAAAGATTCTCAATTCGACATGCCAATCACTCGTAAGGCTTTCATCTTTCACTACTTTGAGTCTACAGTGGCGATTCCTTCTCCTGACCCGAAGGTTGATCAAGACTTGCTTGAATACTATCATGAATTCTCTCAACCTCAGTACCTGACCTGGAGTAGCAAGAAGATCACAACAGTTAAAGTACTGAAACCTACTGCAGCAGGGAGGTTAATTAATATCAAGCTCAAAGTAACCCGAGGATCAGACGGTTCGGTTCATACGATCTCACTTGCTGATTTGCCGAATCTGAATTAACATGATTGGATTCTCCTGAACAACATCCTACTCTCCAATCCGAAGGAATATGAGCCAATCATAGATCACATTAAGCGTATGCTAGTGTGTTACATTCATGAAGTGGCAAAGATGGATCAGGAGATTGCCGCTGCTATACGAAAGAGGCCCTTAATCAAGCCAATCGGGAAGGCGGGTGACACTAAGCTGATGGTGAAGAGTAAAATGGATCCACAGTCTCACACTATTATGTTTCTTAGAGGCGAAGGTCAAAGGTGCCTATTTGCTCTTGCTGACAAACATCTATTCTCCAATCCCTTCTTGGAGCACATTCTTAAGCTTATCCATGGGTGTGATCAAAACAGTGAGGCAGACAAGAAGTTGTTCTCAGATATGCTTCGGTGGTATATGGCTTTCAGACAGACTCTACTTGCCATCATTCCAAAGTTGTTCAAGGTTGTGAAGCGAACTCCTCAACCTCCACCGAAGTGAAGTCTCGCCCCAATTGGCGCAAAGGGGGAGATTGTTGGGCTTACTGTGTTGCGTCTTTGGGCTCGGTCCTTAGCCCAGTTTTGTTACCGGTTTGGGCTTGTCCAACCGTGTTTATTTTTATTAGGGTTTAGTATTTAAGGTGCATGCATGCATCCTTTGTCATAAGAGCTTTCATTATTATTCTCATAATTGTACTACAAACCCTAGCTCGCCTCTACAGTGGAAGTTCTTCATCGAGCTCTGCTGAGGCGTGACTATTCTTGAATCATTAAGCAATACTTTGATTTCATCTCGTGTTTACTGTGTTTGTTTGTTGTTATTGATTAACATGTTAAAGATCTAATCGATCTAAGAGTTTTCAGCTCATCACCATGTCAGCAATAACATAACAAACTAAATAGAACAGCATGCAATGGGTCCACAACTTAACAGAGTGGATTACCCCCTGGGACCACAGTAGGAGTCTAGATTGCCTTATGGGCCCACAACTCACATCTGGCTTGCCATCGAGTCCACAGTACGAGTCTGGATTGCCTACCGGGCCCACAGCTCGTATCTGGAATGCTACCGAGCCCACAGTATGAGTCTGGATTGCCTACCGGGCCCACAGCTCGTATCTGGAATGCTCCTAGGTTTTGTTGGTTACCGCACGGAGCAGTACAACCTCAACCCAATCCACATAACATATCAACATATAACATAACTAATGCACATACAGGTAATCACATAATACTACGGTAGTCCAACAGATCTACCTAACAGGCATAGCAACTAGCATGCAACTCTAGCTCATACTCAACATATTACCACTGCTAGGATATCATACCCAATGCACATACCAAAATCAATATTATCACAGGTAGTCCTACAGGCCTACCAAACTAGCATATCCAATTAGCATGCATATCTAATACATACTTATCATAACAACTACTAGGATATTAATCCATTGGGCCGGCCTTGGTGCCTTAGACCCCTTAGTATAGTGAGGATAACTCACCTTGCAAATTTCGACTCGGTGGATAAACTCCAACTCTCGGATCACTGCCACAAACTCCACCACCTAGTATATATATATATATATATATATATATATATATATATATATATATATATATATATATATATATATATATATTGAAGTATAATGCTATTTAATTAGATTGAGTGAGATCTGTGAGGAAAATGATAAAGACCCTCAGTTTATATATATGGCTTTTGTAAATAATAAGTTTTCAATGGAGACAATCTAGCCAAGTCTTCCCAAGTACTTGCAAAATTTTGAAGTGTCCAAAGAGTGCAATGATCTGATTTCCTCCTTGCCCAAAGATAGAGGATGGGTTGTACCCATCATGTACCAATACCAAGGTTTTTGGCATCATACTTGGCAGCTCCAAGGAATTCTAGCATTTCAAAAACATTTTCTTGCACAAGACACTGATATTCTTCTCGTTACAGCTCCAAAATCTGGCATCACCTGGTTAAAGGCAATTTCTTTTGTTGTCATAAACCGAATTCAATATCCTATTGCTTCCACAGACCACCCTTTACTCAAAAATAATTCCCATGTAGTTGTGCCTTTCGTGGAACAAGTCTATGCTGATAACTCTAATCCCCACTTCTCTGAGACACCTCCTAGACTCTTTGCCACTCATATTCCTTATGTTTCACTACCTGAATCCGTCCATAATTCCAAGGTCAAGATCGTTTATATGTGCCGGAACCCAAAAGACTTATTTATTTCTACTTTTCACTTTACAAACAAGTTGAGGCCCGAACATATGGGGACCAATTCCATGGAAGAGATGTTTGCTTTGTTCTGCAAAGGAGTGTTCCTATATGGACCCTATTGGTACCATGTGCTGGGATTTTGGAATGAGTCTCTAAAGAGGCCTAAAGAAGTGTTGTTTTTGAAGTACGAGGAGATGAAAGAGTAGCCAACTACTCAAGTAAGAAAATTAGCAGAGTTTTATGGCTGTCCATTTACACCTGAGGAAGAGAAGGAGGGGATTGTGGATGCTATCTTAGGTTTGTGTAGCTTTGAAAGTTTGAGTAATATGGAGGTGAATAAAAAAGGATATCTGCCCACTGGTGAGATGAAGCAGGCGTACTTCCGGAAAGGTGAGGTCGGAGACTGGAAGAATCATTTGACAGCGGAGTTGGCGGAAAAACTAGACGTGATCACTGAATGCAAGTTTCAAGGATCAGGATTAAAATTTTAAAGAAATCAAATATGTGAATATAAACCTTGCTTAAAATAGCTTGTTAAGTTTTAATATTTTCTTCTAAGTAGTTTGGTTAAACAATATCCTTTGGTGTTATATGAATAAAAAATGCATGTATATATACCATCTAAAGATTTTATAATATTCTCAAAGATATGTACAAAAAGGCCTATATATTTGGTAACTGTTATAAATGTATACACTTGAAAAATACAACGACATTTTTTTTGATCTTCTGAAAAACTTTGTATATATTAAGTTGTTCCCGAATCTAGAATCCTTATATATTAAGTCAATCATTAGATTTTAATACTGCTACAAATTTAATGAGCAATATTATGGCGGTCGAAACCCACCCGTTATCAAATCATAAAAATATTTAATAGTAGGTTATAACCCGTGTAAAACACAGTTGTTTTTTTTTTATAAAAACAATAGAAAAAAGTAATTATTTAATCATACACATATTAAAAAATATTTATATATGGTAAATGATGTATAAATGTTAATTTATGATCCTCATGTATAACTAATATTAATAAAGTGTTACAAAAATTAAATAATATTATTTAACTTTGACTGATGATAAAGAAATAATAGTGAAATATCAAACATTTAAAACAATATATTATTGCCCATGTATGAAAATTGGTTCTCTCGTAAACAAATCAACATTTGACGATAATTATGTTTGATTTTTATTTATGATCGTAGCAAAAAAAAAAAAAAAAAAAAAAAAAAACAAGTGCAAACATCTGAAGTCTCGTTTATGACCACTAATTCGTAAGCAATCTTAAACTAAAAGTCTGATGTCTGATATTATTTTTCAGTTACGGTTACTGCTTCGTAAACATTAACATCAAATGTAAACATGTATAGGTGGTAAAGAATTTACGACGAGAGTATATATATATATATATATATATATATATATATATATATATATATATATATATAGTGTTCACTTTTTTTGTCACAGATTTTTAATCAAATAAAATCTTGAACTTTACATTGGTATCATCATCTAAACATTAAGGTACAAATCACTATGGTTATACAAGTACCATCATTTAAATTAAGTCACAAACATTGCTTTCTCTTGTAAAAGATCCTTACACCACTTGGATTCATGTCTTTCTTAAGCATTTCATCAAACGTATTATTAACATCATTTACTTTATAATGTAGCTTCCAGAAAAAACATCATTGGTTACATATGGCAAGCAGACATCGCATTGATTAAAGCCAATTGAAACAAAAACATATGACAAATAGGAAAATTGTAAATAGTTGGACAAAGCATGACATCAAAAATTAGGAATGATAAAACCATTAACACATTTTAAAAGTCTAGGATAGTAGCTTGGTTTATGCCATGAATTTGCTTTTGGATATAATTATTGGTGTTGAAGTTTCAATTGGTAATTTTCGTCTTTATCTCATTTAGATTTCAAGTTGTGGCCATTTATACTTAATATTTGTTCAGCTGAAGGCATGAAGTCATTTCTCACTTGGGATCCAGGGTTTGGAGATTTTAACAATTTTACCCCCGAGCAATAAAGCATATTAAAGCGAATGAAATCACAAAGCAGGAACCCGAGAAGAATCCTTGTATAATGATTAAACATACCTATTATAGCATTTTAGTTTGATAAGTCTTCCAAATTATAGCATTGTACTTTTGTTTTTTCATATTATAGAAGTGTAGCTTGAAAACATACCTAATTATAGTAATTTTATAAAAGTAGTCATCTGCATGTGTAATGTAATGCGGTTTTATACATTTAACAAATGAAAATAAATTGTTATTCTTTTTGCTTTTTTCTTATTAAGTTTACTTTTTTTTTCTTATTAAACTATCATACTTTATAACTACAATGCAATAATTTATTGTTATTCTCTTAATTTTGCTTTAATTTCTATTTCTATAACTCTTTTTTCCTAATTAAAGCATTCACTTTGAAAGTTAATGCAATAAGTGGTGGATGTTTTCAAAGTATACCCAGTTTGGCAGTTATAGAATTTTACTTTGAATGTACAATGCTTTAATGTGAAAAAAAATAAACACCAAACATATATAGATGAGGAAAAAATGAAAGTAACAATCCCTTTAAGTATGAAATCTTAATTGCAGACCCTCTTATCATAAATTTTCATTAAAAGCCAAGCATATATAGATTTAGAGAAAAATGAAGTAAATATGCACAACCTTCTCAAACCTTCTTTTAATAAAAAAATTTGGATTACTTAAAGGAATGCAAATTCTCATGCCTGAAACACAACCCTATTAGAATCATCAAGTGAGATTTCTCAATCACCAAAAAACAATGTGCACAATTAAACCAGGAAAACAAGGTAAGATACGAGGGATGGACATACCTTCTTTGAGAAGTGAGCGATACAATGACATTATTGTATTCAGACACATTTTTAACAACAAATTGACAATATCCAAGTGATGGGATGGTGGCTGTTGAATAGCAGGGACTAAAATTTGACCGAATTCCAAACCAAAAAAATTATAAACCCAAAAAAGCTAGTCTCTCGAAATAAAAATAAAATGAGAATTAAAGATAACATAACAATCAGGTGGTGGTCAGGTGCAATTTGTACAAGCTTTTCCCGCCATTTCCACTAAAAAACATACAAAAAAAAAACAAGCATGTTATCGAAAAGGGAGGAGAGGAATTGATGAAACACTAAAATCGATGTTAAACAAAGTGAAAGAAAGTGATTTGAATAAGAACTACAACCTGGAAAGATAGATGGGGAATTCAAAACGAAGAAAAGAGTACAAAAGACAGATCTGTATAACCAAAATTCAAACGTGTGAAACTGAAAACCATCATCAATGGTAGTGAAAACACACATCAAGGAGTAGAAACATTATGGATTTGCAAGCCATTATGGTGACGGTTGTGGTTGATGTCAACTTTGTTGTAGGAGTCGATTCATGGAGGTTTGTTTTCCATTTCAATCAGCGTCATGGCGAATGTCACACCCCCAAACCAGAACGGCGGAAACGTTCGGGGGCGGAGGACGTCATGTACAGTATCATAACAATTGAATAGTAAAGAAAGTACACACCACCATAATATAATTATATTTGAAAAGTTTACATGATTGTATGTGTTACATGTTTAAATATCAAATACAATATGGTGATCCAAAATGTGTTACTAACGCCAGCGCGTTAGTCTTCAAAAGTAGTTGCTACCTGACTTAGCGTTTTCCTGAGAATACAAGTTATTTCAAAGAAAAAGTGTCAACAACAAAGTTGGTGAGTTCATAAGTAGTGTTTTGATAAAATGTATGCCATTCGAAAGTTCGTGTAGGTTTTCCAGAAAATCCGATATTTTCTAACAAATGTATGTAATGAGTATGAAAGATCGTTGTATAAATTGTGTGTATTTGTACCGGGAAAATCCTATATTTTCCTAAATGAGATGCAATCTTAAATGTCCAAGACCGTAACCTGTAAGCAAATATGACATGCTCAAAAGATGATGTATAGTCTTATTATAAAATAAAACTACAAGAAGATTTGTATTTGAATGTGAAAAGAACTGTATTTGTTACTTTTCCCCATTAAAACGTAATACCATAATAATTGTCTATCCAGTGAGTTTTTATAACCGTACTATCATAGTTTTCCTGTAGCGACGTTCTTCAGGCGTCGAAATGAGATGACACTTGTCACCCCGGGGACTGTAGCTAGCAGTCAGGGCGCGGGATCATTAGTCCCGTATAGATCTATACACACTTGTCACGTTCTCCGGACGGGAGATTCTGGTTATATACAGGACTTCTAGTGATACCTTTAAAAGGTATATTGAAGATGAATGCCTCACGAATTCTCAATTAAGTCACGTATTAAAATGTATATGTTTGTTTCTATAACGATTATCCTTTTTCATAATGATAATAAAGGCATAAAATGATTTGTATGTTCTTGTATGTATAAAGATGTCATAACGAAAGTGGTTACCCTAAATATGGTGTAAACGTATAAATAGAGCTTATGATATTTATACTCATATTCCATTCCGTGAGGGTAAAGTAAAGTAAGATGTTTTGTATGTTAGACATGATCCATGTGATAGTTATTAAAAAACAGTCTGAAATGTATAACGAAAGATAGATGTTTTCACACAGGATTAACCATTTGTTTACTTGTATTCTCCCCCGTAAAGTGTTCAAAAGAATTTAAAATCAGTTAAAGCGTAGAAATGGGGGTATGAACTCACTTGATTGAAGTGGTTGTTTTGAAGTAGTCGAGAGAAGAATCGAGCAGAACTTCGACTAGAGAGAGTTGAAATCTCGGGATTCTCGGGGATCTCGGGAGTGTAGAACTTCCTTCGGGACTCGAGTATGAAAAACCGGGGCTTTGGGAAGGCTTCTCGAGGTAATCACGCAGAGTAACGACACTTAGATGGAAAGAGATGAGCACCAAACCCGGCACCCTTAAGCTTCTATTTATAGGGGCTGATTTGGGGTCTCACGTCGTGAGTTTTGGATTGCTCATGTCGTGAGGCTTAGTCAGCATGATCCTCTTCGACGAGTTGACGTGGCTGACACTCTGGAACCCATCAGTCACGAGCTCACGTCGTGAGCATGGTTCCCTCACGTCGTGAGGCTGAGTCAGCCTTGGGTTTTGTGTCCCGAACTTGTAAAATCCATAACTTTCGCGTACGAGCTCCGATTTCGACGTT